ATTTCTTTAATGTTTCAACCGCTTTAATTGATTAAATTAAAAGCTTAAATTGATGAATTGCAATCAATGATAGTAGATGTTTTCCAAAATACATTTCACTTCATTTTATCATATTTTATTCTGCGGTTGTCAAAAATTTACTGTTGTCAAAAAAGATTTAGTTTCTCTCACAACAGAACTTTGTTACCGATTCACACACGCGTAAACACATCAAAATTCTCTATGAAAAGAAATATTTGTAATATTTTTTTTTTTAGAAAATTTTTTCACATACAAATTTGTTGATAAAATAAAAATTAGTTTTTGAAAATATGCCCTCTCAAAAAAATTTAAAACTAAAATCACAATGGTACTCTGAGTATTGCGCAATATTTAAGAATGGTATTAGCACTCTACAATAATTTGAGTTATGATTTTTTTTACACCGAAGTTGAGTAAAATGAGTACATTACAAATTTACAAATTTTTTAATTTTTATTTTGAATTTTTTTAGTATGCAGTCTTGTAGGAAAGATGTTACCTCAGAGGTGGTCCTAANATTTTTTAATTTTTATTTTGAATTTTTTTAGTATGCAGTCTTGTAGGAAAGATGTTACCTCAGAGGTGGTCCTAAACTAATTTGGTTTATATCCGACTATTTGATCATGAAGAAATTAACAATAATCTTAAATTTTTATATGAGAATTGAAGTCGATTTGGTTTTTTGCTTAAAAATTACTTGTTTAGAATGTTGTCGTAGCAGCATAGAAGATCCCAAAGAGTTCTTGGGGAGAGTTGCTGGAGTGACAGTCCTTGGCCAAATATAAATCTGGGTCGTTCCGGTTACGTAGACCCGACTGTCGTGGGAACGGAATTGTCTTTGTCTAGGTGTTGCATTATCTTCCATATAAAAATAAATATTGTTGTTATATGGAAGAAAATACGCAAAACCCTAAACAAAAAAAAAAATCTAAAATGTCAACGGTAATTTTTAGCGACTTCAAACTTGCGTTCGTTATACCAAAATTGAATGGATTATAAACAAGAAATTTTTAAGCAAAAACCAAATCGGCTTCGACTCCCATATAAAAATTTAAGATTATCGTTGGTTTCTTCATGGTCCAAAGAGTTTATGGAAACCAAATTAGTATGGGACCACCTCTGAGATAACACCTTTCCTCTAAAAAGAATTATCGGTCAACCAAAGATATCCGGCAACATACATAAACAAAAAAAAAAAATATTCCGATGAACCTTCTCATTTTTTTGAAATTCGATAGTGGCATCCAATGTGCATTTTTTCTGTAAACCAGTGTTATTTACAATAAAATATGTTGCATGTATATAAAAATGCAAATAGCGACAAACCCAAAAAAACTCAAATCCAAGATAGCAGAATGTTCATATCAAATTATGGGAAAGACTGTGGATACATAATCTACGTGTAAAATAAAAGTAAACTGCGTCAAAAGTGCCCAACTAAAGTGTGTTTTCCGTCATGCCAATTTGATCTAAAGCCACTGGGCTATGGGTTTTTTCCACACAATGAGCATAAATAATTGGATCATGATATTATATTAAACTCACCCAGTTTTTTTAAATCATACAGCTTCCGAACCACGCCCAATGCAGTGCCATAACCGGCGGTGGCCAACGAGCCAGTATTGCAATGTGTTAGGACACGCACGGCTGAATCTCTACCGCAAGCCTCCAGTATGGCGGCAGCACCATTTGTACCGATCGCCATATTATCGGCAATATCTTTCTGCAGCATCGCTTCAGTGGCTTTCAAAAATCTAAATTAAAATATAGAAGAATTTTATACTCTAAATAGAATGTCGAATTTTTATAATGAATTGCCGTGAAGGATTAATACCTTTGTTTCATTTCTTGTACAGTAATGGTTTCATCTTTGGTCAACTCGTTGGCTAAGGTGATCAGTTCATCGGCGGCGATTTTCATATTCACAGCTGTTGGACGTGCTGAGACTAAATAATTCAGTTTGCCTTCGATTTCTTGGCGGAGCGATTTTTTTGAATCGAACTCTTCGGGTAATATTTCCACAGCCAACGATAGACAGCCTACAATGGCGATTGCAGGCGCGCCTCGTACCTGTGAATGAGATTATTTATTAGAAAATTTCAATAGAACTTTACATAAGCATACGTACAAGTGCTTATACATATATATACATTAGGGTGTTTTTATGCTGACTATTTTTTTTGTCACTCCCACCTAGAAATTTTGTGGGAAATACCAAAAAAGATCCCTGAAAATTTTAGCTCTTGTAAGACATTCAATTTCCTACAAAAAAGTTCTAGAACACCAAATCGCTGACATCGATATTTCTTGAGAAATTGGGCTTTGCAGTTGAGGTGGCGTAGAATTTTAAGGGATTATTGAGCTAAATTTAACTTTACGTGTATTTTAAACAGGAAATCTTTGCACGTCTTGGTCAAGCACTTAATATTAATATTAAGGGCTCAAATTTTCAGGGATTTTTTTTT